GTCTGATAACCATTTCATCGAAAACCATTACAGCATTTTCTTTATCGATTTCTTTTAAATTTTGACATTTATTTTGCACGAAATGAAAAACACTATATTTGAAGCCAGGTTGAAGTGATTTAAAAGGCGCCCACCGATTAATAGTACAACGGTGTAGTAAGTTTAAATTTAATCTGTTTCTTAAAAATAAGTATGCCGATGCGGAAACATAATATATATTTTGCACTAAAGTGTTGACTTTTTCAGAATATTTTTTTGGTCTGGATGACAGAAGTAAATTACAAAATGTGTTGGTATTACTTGAAACTAATTTTGTGTCTGTATCAGTTTTAATGTTACACGAAAACTTTTTTAATTGCTTTCGGTATTTATTGACTTGCACTCTTTGAAACCTATTTTTTTTAGTAAGCAATTCAATTTTTTTTGAAATAGTAAAAAACTGTTTTTTATAAAATTCCACTGATTTCAAGTTTTTCTCACAATTTCTGCAACATGTTTCAATGTTTGTTTCCGGTTTTTCACTTTAATTAACAGGCTCGTCAAAAGAATCGTTGTTGGAAACTATTTCAGGTAAATATATGGGAACAGCACTACGTTTCAAAAATTTTTTACATATATCACTGGAGTGAAAATGTTTGCTGCATATGAATAATATATTATTATAATTGTCTAAGTCAATATTACAATTTTCTCTCCACATTTGTCCCATTGGAGTATCAACTGACGGAAATTTAAATAATCTTAAACCTTCATTTTGACGATTATTGTCGCCGCAACTTTGTATACAGCATTCCTTATAATGCTTATAATACTTCGCACTCATGTTTAAAGCGATATTTGTTATACAAAATTTACTATATTTAATTTATAAAAAACAGTATGACAATTTTATACACACAATTGGCCAATTTACACTATCCTGAACGTGAGATGAACTTGACGCTCTTATGAGCGTGAAATTTGTATAAAATGCTTGTGTGTAGTAGTGCAGAGAACAGAAATTAAGAATATCCCAGTAGAAAAAGTGGTCTTCGAAGACATTGTCTTCAAGACGGTCTTTAATACCGCGTCCGCATGTTCAAGCAAATTTGCAAAACAATTGCTCAAAACATGAATACTCTTTCTTTGCTTTCTCTCACATTTTTAGTGTTCATAGCAACGTATTTGAATTTTGCCTCAGATGACGCTATGTTTTATAAATGAAGTGACGCAATAATTTTGAAGTGAAGTGTGAATATTAAAAAAATCAAAATAAATAAAGAAACAAAATCATTAAACTACGAAATATTAAAAAAAGAAATTAAATCAAAACAAATTAAATAGTGACTTAGTTCCTGGAAAATATATTGATATTAATATTGAAGACAATAATTCCAGTGAAATTTGTTTAAGAAACGAAACAAAGGATGTTGAAAATAAAAAAACACAGGATTAACAGGCGTTGTAGTAATGATATTTTAGAACTCTTAAGATCAGAAGGTTTAATTGTACCAAAATCCTCTTCAACGCTTTTGAAAGCATATAAAACTTCAACAATTGATGATAGCGAAATGCTATAAATTCTTTTATATTAGTTTTAGTTAATTTTAGATATGCTAAGTTATATTAAGTTAATTATTTAAATTAATTTTCATTATGTTTACTAGTTTTTACTAGTTTATTATTAATATCTTAATAAAATTTATAATAATTTATAATAAAATTTATAATTTATTTTTAAAACTTTTAATTTTGAATGTAATTTAAGAAATTATTATATAAAATAAATAAAAGTACAAAATACAACAATTTCTTTCTACTTATTTAAAGAGAAAATTGAAATTCATTTAAAATTTAAAGAGCGCAATAAAAGAGTAGAAATAAAAAAAGGTTGAAAAAATTATATGAGCACTGCACTAAGAGCGCACAACTTTCTGTCGAATGCGTCCGTTATGCAAGACATGGTCTTCGAGACGGTCGTCGAGACATGTACACAAAAATTTATTGAAGACATTTGGCTAATTTGTATGAAAGTGTCTTCGAAGACCGTCATACATTTGGATCGATCGGTCTTCATGTATGTATCCATGTCTTGAAGACGTCTTCGATGACGGATCGATCCGTTTTCTACTGGGCGTCTTCGATGACGGATCGATTCGTTTTCTACTGGGCATAAAAATAACATTGCATATGTATGCGTGTCAAGCTGAAGAAACGCAGCAAATTTCATTGCGTGAACTCACATCAAACTCTCTTCCAAGTTCATGTTCATGATAGTGTAAATAGGCAATAACTCACAATTTATAAATTTGAATAAGGCTTCACAAGTTTATTAAATTAAAACACTTTTAATATTTAAATTGCTATTGCCGACGTTTTTTGACTTTCTTAGCGTATGTATCCCAGTAGAAAAAGTGGTCTTCGAAGACATTGTCTTCAAGACGGTCTTTGATACCGCGTCCGCATTTTCAAGCAAATTTGCAAAACAATTGCTCAAAACATGAATGTAAATACTCTTTCTTTGCTTTCTCTCTCATTTTTAGTGTTCATAGCAACGTATTTGAATTTTGCCTCAGATGACGCTATGTTTTATAAATGAAGTGACGCAATAATTTTGAAGTGTAGTGAATAAACATTTGTAAAATAAATATTAAAAAAAACAAAATAAATAAAGAAACAAAATCATTAAACTATGAAATATTAAAAAAAAAAGAAATTAAATCAAAACAAATTAAATAGTGACTTAGTTCCTGGAAAATATATTGATATTAATATTGAAGACAATAATTCCAGTGAAATTTGTTTAAGAAACGAAACAAAGGATGTTGAAAATAAAAAAACACAGGATTAACAGGCGTTGTAGTAATGATATTTTAGAACTCTTAAGATCAGAAGGTTTAATTGTACCAAAATCCTCTTCAACGCTTTTGAAAGCATATAAAACTTCAACAATTGATGATAGCGAAATGCTATAAATTCTTTTATATTAGTTTTAGTTAATTTTAGATATGCTAAGTTATATTAAGTTAATTATTTAAATTAATTTTCATTATGTTTACTAGTTTTTACTAGTTTATTATTAATATCTTAATAAAATTTATAATAATTTATAATAAAATTTATAATTTATTTTTAAAACTTTTAATTTTGAATGTAATTTAAGAAATTATTATATAAAATAAATAAAAGTACAAAATACAACAATTTCTTTCTACTTATTTAAAGAGAAAATTGAAATTCATTTAAAATTTAAAGAGCGCAATAAAAGAGTAGAAATAAAAAAAGGGTGAAAAAATTATATGAGTACTGCACTAAGAGCGCACAACTTTCTGTCGAATGCGTCCGTTATGCAAGACATGGTCTTCGAGACGGTCTTCGAGACATGTACGCAAAAATTCATTGAAGACATTTGGCTAATTTGTATGAAAGTGTCTTCGAAGACCGTCATACATTTGGATCGATCGGTCTTCATGTATGTATCCATGTCTTGAAGACGTCTTCGATGACGGATCGATCCGTTTTCTACTGGGATAAGATATTATTAACTGAATTTATAAATCATAAGTCACCATATATATATGGCGCAATTTTTTACCTATATATGTTGTTTTTTAAAAACCTTTACAATAAATAATAAGCAATAAAATAAGTTAATAATAAAAAACAATAAACTATTAAAATTAAAAACAAAACCGCAATAAAAGAAGGATTAACGGGGTGGTCCATAGCGCAATAAGAATAGGTAGTTTGCACTTATATTATCATAGTCGTCATCGTAACCAATATTTATAATATAATAACTGTCCTTATATTATTACTTATTGAATTTTTTGTTAAACTTTATGAAGTTTACTGAAGCTCATATTTTGCATAATTATTCAGTAATTTCTGAGATCTGAAATATATACAAAATATAGACTGGGAACAGCAAATTTTTGTGAACCTTTAACATTTGGCTATTAGTGGAAAAAATTTTATGGAAAACTTGTATACATTTTTTGGGTATCGCAGATTGTAGTGAAAAAAGTCGTAAAAACACGGGGGATTTTTGCAAATTTTCACTTTTAATTTTAACTGTTAATAAAATTTAAACATGTTTTTATTTAAAAATGGTAACAATATCCTAAGCTGTAAAAAATATTAAAAATAATAATTTTTCAATTAGTAGATATAAAATCATAAGGGTTCAAATTTCGCCAAAATTGTACGAAATCTCAACTTCGCCAAAATTTCATAAAATTGCGAATAACATACAATAATTTACAAAATATACTGTGCTGTTTACTTCTATACAAATGTGTTTCAGTTAAACTTGAAAATAAAATTTTCGGTTTTACAGAAAATTCTATAATGAAGAAAAAAAATGGATTGTAAACAAAAAATAAGTTTTTTGGTATTTTTGCAGACATTTCTTGCTTTGATATTTTCATTAGTTGCTGTTTTTGATTTCTCAATTGTTAAATGCACCTTTCTACATAAAAATACCAACAACTGTAGCTCAGAGCGCAGAAAAGCAATACAAATTTCTTTAAAACTTATTAAGTATGAAATGCTTAAACACTCCAAACTCTCCCGCATGTTAAAGCTGAAAAATTAAAAATTGAATCACAACGAGTCCATGTGACACAAAAATAACTCAAATACTATTTCCCCGATTTCTGCGACCGATTTTTGTGAAATTGCCATCACTTCATTTTTAAGATTTTTTAAGTAATGTACACTCTATGTATATATACTCTTTGGTTTTACTTTTTATGTATTATATATATATATATATATATATATACCTAAAGTACCCAAAGTTTAATCTTAGTATTTATATACATATATTATATTTTTTTTTAATTAGTTGTTAATTAGAACTTCAATCTGCAGTATTATGCATAAATGTATAACTAACGCCTCAAAACAAAAAGTTATTAAAAACATTGGTAATATGTACTTAACACCTAAAGAACAGTGCCGTTCTTAAATTTTTATTTGAGCAATAATTAACTTTCTTGCTTTCTAATCATATGCAGTTTGAATTATAAAATAAAATCAAATATTGTTTAAAAAGTGATGTGCTTAGTTCTATAAGTGTATTATAAAAGCGTGTTAATACAAAAAAATTATACAAAATAACCAGGAAAGAAACACATAAAAACTTGTCTTCTTAATTACAGAGAATTATTAACAATAGTGGTAACATGTATCGGTAAATATTTGTCATTTTTATTATACGTTTGTTTTGCTGAAAATATGAAATATATATAGATTAATATTTTTAAGATTGTATTTTATTAACATATAATAACTTTTTATAATATCTTACTTGAATATGAATTTTGTGCTAATGACTTTTTAAACATAAAATCATGAATCATAAACTGTGGAGTTTAAAAGTTAGACACAGTCTTGTTTTTTATAAGGATTATAAAAATTTTATATAACAATCAAATTCAGTCAGAGTTGTATATAATTTTACCTTTATTGGGTATAATTGTTTATTATTATTTATAAAAACGATTATTATAGGAATTCTTTGTTATAGGGATACTGCGAAACAATACTAAAGGTTGACATTAAACAATCAAATTAGTCCACCAAAATTAGTAATCCGAGACTACATTAGATAAAATTGCAAACCTTGTCAAAATAATTCATTTTATTTATTTTATTATATAAATTTATTTTAATATTAAATCAATTAAATCAATAAATAATATTAAATTGAATGTTAAATAATATTAAATCTTAATTTTTTTTAGAAATAACATCACAATAAAACATTTAAAAAAACATCTGATTTTTGATATGCGACGTAATTAAAAAAGTTAAAAAAAAATAAATAAAATAAAACAAAAATTACACACATATAATTTTCTGCGTTAAATATTAAACACACAAAATACTACAAACATCAAGAAATTCTATCAAAAAATTATCCCTAAAACAAGTTAGGGAGACGGTTGATGTAGTTGAATTGCTTCTTAGTATTCTCTATTGGCGTAACGTGATCTATTTGAAAAGTATGTAGCGGTATTTTAAACGTATCAATAGGGTTCAAGAGTCATTCCTTTTTACCAAATTTTTTTTCCGTTAGAATGCATTTTAGACAGCTTTGTACCACAATCTTCACTTTTGAACTAAAGTTTTTAATATAAAAACCCTTCTCAATGATGTTTTGAGTTTTTTTTCGCAATAAAATGATGATCTACGATTTTAATTATTTTTATTTTTTTAACTGTTCGAATCCATTCGTCTAGTTAATGCGTCTCTTTGATTCTATGTTGCAAAGCACTCTCTATTATTAAGGAAGCCACAGATTTTAAGAGCTGTGCGGTGTTCAGTCATATAATCGAATTGTTGTACATACATAGCCAATTCCGCTACCATTCCGCTACTCGAAACTTCATCTTTCCTCATAGTAATCGCAAAGGCAATGCAATTCGCTAGTACTTTAAATTCATACGAGTGATAATTTTGTTCTGCTGGTCCAGTTTTCCTCCTCATGTACTGGTCTGGATGTATGCTTTCGGTGTTATAAACTTTTGAAATATGTTAGTTAATGTCGCTTTTAATTGTTCAAATGCTGTTATTGCTTCGTCAATAATTTTAAATTTTGCAATTTTTGATCATCACTTCGGTCAGTGGCTTCGCATTTAAGGTATACTGCGGAACTAATCATCTGAAATATGACGTCAACCCCAGATAACGCTGCAGTTCTATCTTATCCCGTGACATTGGAAAATCATCTATGGCGTTCACCTTGTTGGCCATTTGATTTGAAGACTATATGTTTTTGCCAGATCCAACACTTTTCTAAATTTTCGAATTCATTCTAACTAGTTCTTTGTTTGTGTTATTATATCATGTATATAAATCACCACTGTTCTATTTTTAATTATTTCGCGAAAAGCTGCAGCGGTAGGTATATATTTATACGGTAGGTACCTTCTGATCAAAAAAGAACGAGAGGTTTATTTTTGAATTCCCCCGCTTATCCAATCGGTAAATTTTTTTTATTTTCACGCTGGTAACGAAAATTTTTGCCAGCGTGAAAATAAAAAAATTTGCCGATTGGATAAGCACGGGAATTCAAAAATTAAAGTTCTTTTTTGATCACAAGGTATATATCTAGAAACTACAATTAGCAGATTTGAAATATTAAACGGCATAAATTTGAATAATGATAATGAACCAAATTAATTTAACTTGAAAATTTGAAGTTTTTTCGTATGTTTTCATTTTTACTTCATTGAATCTAACAAAAATAAACAAAATAGAGCGTTTAACTTTGATGCAACTTTCGTCTGCCACCCTGTATTTGTTTGTAACTTATAGAGTTTGTTGGTGTGTGTTTTATGTTGCTGTTGTCGTTCTTGTTGTGATGATTGTTCATGTTTTGATTCACTTTCACCTTTTGGTGGAGTGCGATTGGCCGCCATTTCGTTTAATTAAGACGATTACAGAAATAGTGTATGATATTGGAATTTTCTATTTGAATTATGCTATTGGAATTAATAACTATTTGTTATTCGATTACTAGTGTAACTATCTGTCTCTCTCAGTTTTGTTTATACAGCCATAGTCAAAAGTATTTACACAACGAATATTTTGGTACATATTGCATAAAAACATGTTTTTATTGTTGTTGTTGTACGTAAGTTGCAAAAAATTTTTTTGTTGTTATTTAGTTTCATCTATGCAGAACCAAACAAAAAAAGAATTAGCAAGATAACTGTTCATTTGATAAAAATATAAGCAACTGCGCTGATGATTATTAGTTGTCAAAAGTATTTACACACATATTTTTCGCGTCAAAAGTATTTACACAAAATATTAATTAGCATTTATTCTAGGATTTCCTTTAAGTAAGTGCAGTTGTTAGCTTTTGTCAAAAATTACACAAATTTAGAGATTTTAGATCTCTAGATCAAAAGTATTTACACAAAATATTAATTAGCATTTATTCTAGGATTTCCTTTAAGTAAGTGCAGTTGTTAGCTTTTGTCAAAAATTACACAAATTTAGAGATTTTAAAATTTCAGAAATTATTCTGGAAAATCGTAAAAACCAAGGATTTATCAGTTAAAATTCGATCTGAGGTTGGTACCTAATATAAGAGTGGGATTTCGGCGACGAACTTAGTAAAGTTGTGCAAAATATTACATAAAATGGTGTAAAATCTAATTAAAAATAAGTACATATGCGAAAATATAAAAAATTTGAAAAGGACTGGGCGGAAATCTCCCATGAATCAAAGGGAATGCAGAAGATTATTAGGAGTAGTAGTAGAAAAGCCTACAATAAGTCCTGTCAAAACAACAGCATTATCGGAAAAGTTGATTTACAAGATTATTAGTGACGTTACACTACATCGCAGGTTGAAAAATATTAATTTCAATACCTATGAGATGCACAAAAGAGTCAATATTACTCTAACGATCTTATTAAATATTCTATCATTTGCTTTGAAGTATTATAAGTAACCTGTACAGTTTTGTTACAATGTGTTATGAATAGATGAGTCTGGATTTTAATTCTAGGGTTCATTTGATAACCACTCCATGCATTTACGACAACTTCAATAGAATAAAGCAGTGCAGCCACTCAATAGATTTGAAGGTGGTACGGTTTTGTTTTGGGGATGTCTATCATACAATGCATTTGGAGATTTGGTACCGAAAAATGGTGCCTTAAATCAGTCCGGTTATATTGGTATTTTAAATAACCATGTCTTGACGTCAGAAAATAGACCTTTTCCAATCAATAACTGGGTTCTGCAACATGACAATGCACCATGTCATCAAGGGCGAAGACTTAATCCAATTTTAAAAGAGTTAAATCATGCTGCTTTTTTATAGCCTGAACAGAGCCCTGGTCTTAATGTCATTGAATATGCTTGAGACTTTATAAAACAGCAAAATACTTTTGATAAAAATCCAAAATGTAGTGATAGCATAATTGAAATAACGAATATTTGGTCCAAATTGATTCGCAGCTTGATTGGATTGGTTACGGGCAGTTATTAATGCCAAAGGTGGTGTAATCAAATATTAATTATATTAATTAAATAAAAATAAAAAATTTTTAAAAAATTCATCAATTAAGAAGAAGAAAATAAAATTAAAGTTTTGTGTAAATACTTTTGACGCGAAAAAAATGTGTGTAAATACTTTTGACAATTAATAAGCATCAGCACAGTTGCTTACATTTTTGTCAAATTAACAGTTATCTTCTCAATTCTTTTTTTATTTGGTTCTGCATAAATAAAACTAAATAACAACAAAAAATTTTTTTGCAACTTACGTCCAACAACAACAATAAAAATATTTTTTTATGCAATATGTACAAAAACTTTCGTTGTGTAAATACTTTTGACTATGGCTGTATTTATTTTAGTTCCATAAGTATTATTATTAAGTTACGTTCCACAATGGGGTGAATTTTTATAAAAGCGGCAAATTTTGGTTTTCCATCACAATATACAAATGCACAACTGATTTGTTTACTTATCACTGTTTTAATAAGATTTGCATATACCTATAATGTGATTTAACATTTAACAATTTCGTTGCTTTCGTGGTTCGATGAAGATAAAAACATGTTCAAGAGCCGCTTTTTAAACATTTGGATTTTGATTTATGAATAATTTTAAGCATTAACAAATGCCAGCTGTTTACTTTTAGTACTCGCCCTATTTTCGACAAAATATTACTTGTTTTCGATAAACGCATGTCTTGAATTGACAGAACAGGGCAATCTTCATTCGCTTCCTACTTATCCTTCAAAATTGTATCTACTATTGATATTTGGTATGGCGACTTTTTTGTTTTAATTGACAATACTGACAAATAAAATTGGTTATTATCTACTTAATTTAAAATTACTATTGTGATTCTCTACAGTATAATTGTGTGGCGATATCTTGTATAATTTTCTTAAACCAAGGTAAAGTAAAACAAAATATTGGTGTATCCTTCGAATAATAAAAATTAATAATAAATATTATTGCTGCAAAGGGAATACAGTTTTTGTTTAATAATAAACCATTAATAAACCAATAAAATAACACGATAATTCAAAAGAATACATTTAGTATACGTAAATAAAAAAAAATTATGAAAATTAATTTTTTTAATTATACTTTATTTTATTAAGATGGGATTATGGAATCTTTCTTTAAAAATATTTGTATATTTGAAAGGCCTT